AATCGGGACCCGATTCTCGGTCAACGGATCCCCATTAAGAAAGTTTTGAAAATTAAGGAATGTGTTCGTCGTACGGTTCGTTCTAGGATTCCAGGGAAAGTTGGAAACTCACCCAGTCGTTACGCGCAGCGCTCACCTACAATAACTGGGAATCTAACTTGCTTGCGGCTATCGATCACCGCCGTTGTGCATAACACACTCATTGCCTTACCATCGATGTCGATGAATTATGGAACTCGAGCTCTGGTCGGAGCATTCCATCGAAAAGAAGGATCTCTATGTAGATACGACGATCGGAGATCACTGACCGATTCATACAAGGTCATATGACGTTGTTCAACCTCCTCGTTGAGTTTGGCCGTCTCGGCAAACTTGGCAAAGAATTAATTCGGCCAGGTCGAGTGAATACCTTTGCCAACGGCTTTGTCCTCACGGTGATCTTCCGCATGATTGTCAGTAATACTGACAATCACGCGGAATATCACCACCTCAAGTACCTCAAGCACTGTCAGTAGTACGAACAGTGCTTGAGGTTCGTCGCTCTAACCCAATAGATTGTGTCCATTATGTGAGCCGTCATTCGTATTTGCGCCATGGCTAATCTAATAGATAGTGTCCGTATGTTAGCTAGCAGTCGTATTCGGTCGAAGACTGATCTCTTAGATGGTGTCCGACTCATCGCATACTTCTGAACTTTTCGAGTTTCGAGGCTCGATCTCGAATCGATTCGGTCCCAGAGGTTATACAATCGATTGGTCCAATATCGATACCGGTAACCGAGAATCGATCTCGAATCGATTCTTTCGATTTAGGGGCGCCGGTTCGATCCAAGGCTCCGGCATTTTTATGTATTTTCTATTTCGAAAAGTTGCGCACAATGGAACCACTGAAACCCGGCACCTGCTCATCCGCGCCCCTAGATTCGTCGCCCCTAAGGTACTCAATCCGCCCCTAAATTGCCCAATCCGCCCCTAAATGACTCGTACCGGCCCCTAACTTTTCAAGCTACCCGAGCGTCCCTGAAGCTTCACTGCAAGCATGTCACGTGGCTTTGTTGACTGCCATGACATCTTGAGGAAAACTCATGTGCATCACGCTTGACCCTGGCCGTCTGAAAGATACATGTTCGAACTTGACCAGCCACTGGCTTGAACGTTTCGAAACCTTGGCCGACGCAATGATCAATCTAGTTTCGCATCGTTGTGTTGAGCCGTGCTATCTACTGATCTTGGCCGGCGGCCAATGGCCGCCCTGAACACGTACTGAGCGTACTGAACTCCACCACGTAACTACATTTATTAGCTAAGCACACTGGTATGGGTCACTGAGACAGAAACTGTGCCATGTATGTCAGTCTCAGAGAA